AAGACAAAAGACAAAAAAAAAAAAAAAAAGATCAGAGAGATGAATAGGAACCAGAAAATTAGACTAAATAGGAGGAAAATTAGGCAAGTGTGGTATCCTGCAAATCAGATAAAGAAGGTAGTCCAAGAAAGAAGGAGTGCACAATTGTCAAGTGCACACATGGGTCAAATAGGACAAGGACTGAGGCTTGATCAGTGGATTTAGCAATGATGCAGTCCTATGGAATGAGAATGTCTGGGATGTGATGTCTGGGTCTCATCTCCAGAGATTTAGATTTAATTGGTCTGGGGTGCAGCCTGGACCCCAGGGTTTTTAAAGTTCCCCACGTGATTCTAATATGCAGCTAAGGTTCAGGTTCACTGTGGAAGTTGCCTTCTCTTAATTGTGAAATGGCCTTATTGCCAGAAACAGATGTTGCTGGCTGATTAAACACAGGAGTTTTGTTTTGCTTTTTAATCTATAGGCTTGTTCTTGGATACCTTGGGATCTGAAAATGATAAGGAGATCTGAAAGCTGATTATTAACCAATAAAGGGATTAGCTATTTAGCACCTGTCTTAAATTGGCTTTTAAGCTGAAAATCTCTTTGCTTTTCATTTTCTCAAATGTTTGATTTTTTTTGTTCGTTTGTTTTGCTTATGCTCAAAAGATCTTTTGTCTTAAGTAAGAGGGTAAATTTCAAGTTAATGAAACAATTCAAGGGAAATCTTGATGTAGATGTGACTGGTCCAAAGAAAGAAAAAAAACTCCAAATACCAAGCAAACAAACCTGAACTCATATCAATAATTAAGCATGTCAGTGAGTTAAGTACATTCTTTTCAGAATCCTGAATATTTCACACCTCAAGACTTGGCTAGTAACAGATATAGAAATTTTGTACCTCATTAAAGTTTTAATCTTTTTCATTTTCTCACCACAAACATTAGAAATTATTTAAATGCATTAATAAGTTTGAGTTGAAATGGTATCTGTTAGCTCTTAAAAATTACAGAATATCACGGGTGGGCTGTGCATCAAGAGATCAGGTTTTCAGGCTGGTCAAATTGGATTGTATATGATACAGAGAGGAAAAATCAAATATATTGGAACAGGACCAAGGTAGAAAATGGAAAAAGAGTCAAAATAAAGGCTTAATTATTGCAGGATTCTAGAAGGATGCCAAGTATCTAGATTAGCCCTTTTCAACCCTGGTTAAAGGAATTAAACCCTACCGTCCTGTGGCATCCATTGTATGAAATGAATGAATTTCTCTCATGTGTCCAGAATGGGGCTAGCCATGTACCATCGTTGGGAGAATTCCGAAAATAGCCACTCAAATAATCAAATAATTTTTCCTGGGCCTAATTCTGTTGTGGAACCCCAGTTGAGAAAGGCTGTTTCAGGTACTAATCTGTTTTCTTGGATGATGCAGTTGTTTTTTGAGGTACATGTCCTCAGGAAAGAAAGCATAAAAAGGCCCACTGTAAAATTACCAAGATGTTAAAAATAATATCTTTATTCATTTATTAGAATAGTTATTAATAAAATATACACAGAACCACCTTATATAAATCCCAACAATGGTTTTCTAAATAGTTTAAGTTTACCCTACAGACTTTTGTCTATATACATAGACATATATGTAAATAGTGTTTATTTCAAAGAATGGGATCATGCTTTTCATTTAGTTCAGCAATTTATTTCCACAAAATGTTGTGGATGTTCTTCTACATAATTATATATGAATCTGCTCCTTTATAAGGATTGTATGGTATTCCATAGTTTGGTTGTTATAAAATATATTTTGCCATTCTTCTGTTAATGGACATTTGGGTCATCTCCAGCTCCTCACTATTATAAGCAGTGCCATAACAAACATCTTTGTCCAAAAAATTCTTGAAAAAAAATATTTCCGTATTATAAATTCTGGAAGTGGAATTGTTGAGTCAGGATGGGTACCTTTTATTTTTATTTTTTGGTTATTATGAAAATTTTCAAATATATTCAAAAAAAGGGAATAGTATAATTATATTAGGCAGGGTTCTCCAAAGAAACAGTCCGGTAGGAAAAGAGATTTATTTTTTTTATTTTTTATTTTTTTCCTTTTTGTCTTTTTTCGTGTCCGGCAATGGACCGCAACCCTCAGTGTCGTGCCCGTACCGGACCGGGACCGGCAACGGGATCGCAACCCTCGGTGCTGCGCCCGCCCCTCGCTCAGCCAGTGAGCGGGAACCGGTCTGTATGTGGAATCTGAACCCTCGGCGGGAGCGCCGCCATGCTCCCAAGCGGCACACTGTAGCAGTGCGCCACCGGGTCGGCCGGAAAAGAGATTTATTATGAGAATCAGTGAATGTGATTATGGAGGCTGAGAAGTCCTGGGATATGTCATCTGCAAGCTGGAGAATCAGGAAAGCCAGTGGTGTGATTCAATCTGAATCCAAAGGCCTGGGGACAGGGGTCCCACTGGTATGTCCTGGATTCTCAAGGCTCAAGAACCAGGAGTTCTAATGTTCAAGGGCAGGAGAAGATGGATGTCCTAGCTCAGGAAGAGAAAGAAAATTCACACTTTCTTGTTCTATTTGGGCCTTCAGTGGGTTGGATGATACCCATCCACATTGTTGGTGAGGGTGGGTCCTTTTTACTCATCTTGCTGATTCAAATGCTGATCTCATCCAGAAACACTCTCACAGTGTGTTTCTGGGTGTGTCCCAGAAATAATGTTTTACCAGCTATCTGGGCTTCCTTAGCCCAGTCAAGTTGACACAAAAAATTAACCATCCCAATAATGAACCCCCATGTACCCCTTATTCACTTTGATAATTATCATGGCATGGCCAGTTTTGTTTTCTCTTCACCCTCACCCACTCCCTCAAACTCCCAACACTGGATTTATTTTGAAGGAAAGACACACCATTTCGTCCAAAGATATTTCAAAATGTCTCTCTAAAAGTTAAGGACACTTTTATTTTTTTTTATTTTTTTTGTCTTTTGTCTTTTTCCGTGTCCGGCAATGGATCGCAACCCTCAGTGTTGCCCCAGTACCGGACCGGGGACCGGCAACGGGATCGCAACCCTTGGTTTTGCGCCCGCACCGTGCTCAGCCAGTGAGCAGGAACCAGTCTCCACATGGGATCCGAACCCTCGGCGGGAGCGCCGCCATGCTCCCAAGTGGCGCACTCTCCAGTGCGCCACTGGGCCGGCCCGAGATCAAGTTTTGAACACATGAACTTTTGGGGAACACATTTGACTCATGAACCAGTCAAGGACCAGACCTTTCTTTGGAATGTGTAGAGTTTGGACAACCCAAGCCTGCTGAGCACCCAAGCAAGTCAATTGAAGTCTAGCTGATCTATCTTCCCAAGGTAGCTCCACACTTTATCTTCAAAGAACAAAATAATATTGTGATGCTTTCAGCTGAACCATTCCTGTTTATTACTGGAAAGGATGTGACCACCACTGCCTGGCCACTATGTTTCACAAAGTTCAATTTGCCTGAAGATAGCAAATGTCAAAATCTACCTGATCAGATTCTATCTTTTTAAGACTGAGACTGTGAGTTTCGAATTAGTGATTGCCAGGCAGGCAAGTACGTATGACTACAGGAGGGCAACTTGAGGGATCCTTGTGGTGATGGAAATGTTCTCTGTCTTGACTATAACAATGTCAACATACTGGTTGTGTTATTGTACTATAGTTTTGCAAGATGTTGCCATTAGGATAAACTGGATCAAGGATATATGGATTGTCTCTGTATTATTTCTTACAACTGCATGTAAATCTAAAATTGCCTCAAAATAAAAAATTTAATTAAAAAGAAAAAGACAAGTTTGAAATTTTGCCATTTTGTAATTTCTTTGAACTTCTGCTCGCCCTGTTATTTAAAACAGCTACCATGTGCTTTACAGTCTCTACACTTTGAATACTGTGTACCAAAATTGAGGTTTAGACCACTGTTGATAAAAAGCCATGTTGGGGCTGGCCAGTTATCACACTTGGTTAGAACGTGGTGCTGATAACACTAAGGTCCAGGGTTCAATCCCTGTGCTGGCCAGCTGCCAAAAAAAAAAAAAAAAAAAAAAAAAACCCCAACCAAGCTAATAAAAAAAGCCATGTTGTATGATTTTGTTAGACCGACTTATTTTGCCTACTGTTTGGGTTTCTTTTAATTAGTTATATGGCTGCCAAATGATTGTTTATGGAGCACTCAATATGAATTTAAGTAAATGAAGCTTTGGGGGAGCTTCTTTTAAGTGGAGTGAAACTGAATTCAGTTTGCTTAGCAATCTAATTTATTGGTGTTTGTGATTTTTTCCAGGTACTTGCGATCATTAGTTCAGAACTTGTTATTAATTCGGTGCTTCAAGAAAACCATTATTGAACATTCACCCAGGCAAGAACGGCTTAACTTCTGGTTAGATATAATTTTTGAGGCAACAAGTGAAGTTACTAATGGACTCAGATTTCCAGTAAGATATGCTAAATCCACGTCTTTAAGATAAATGAAGAAACCAGGGATGGGACCAGTGCTATCTAATTATTGAATACTCTGAAAGAAAGAAAACTGTAGAGTAATTTATAGTGTTGGGATAACCATCAGTCCTATATGGAATCAGCAAGTGTTCGATCAACTCACTGGCAAAAGTTGGCCATATCCTCTAAAATAGTGGTTCTCAACTGGGAGCAATTTTGTTCCCCAAGGGACGTTTGGAAATGTCTGGAGATATTTTTGGTTGCCACAACTGAGGAAGAAGATGGTGTTACTGGCAGCTAGTAGGGTAGAGATCAGGGATGCAGTTGAATATCCCATAATGCACCTGACACCTCCCCCATAAAGAATTATCCAGCCCCAAATGTCCATAGTCCGAGGTGGATAAACCGTCCTCCAAAACAGTGCAGTGAAAATTTAGAATTCAAAGCTGTTTCCTGTTAAGTTTTGGTTTACCTCCAATGCCACTAATTAATATTTAAAGCTTTATTAGAAAAGCAAAATTGCTTTTAGCTTTTCACTGAGTTTTTGTTTCAACTTTATGATCATCTTATAAAGAATCATAAGATATCTAAGTATCCTGAAAGTTGAATTTCAGATAATTGTGTTTCATATTTATGCCATGAGATTTTGTGAACATTCCATTTTTAAGAATTTCATTAAGTAGCTATTAAAAGATTGAGTTGTTTGAAGTGATTGTGATAATTATTTTGTTCCTGGATAATACATTTTAAGGGCCTCTTTTAATTATGAAATATTTCAAACCTACTGAAAGGAACATCAACAACAAAAACTCCAGAACAGACACTTGTGTAATCTCTACACATATGATATTAGATGGCATATCCCTATCTGTCTGTCATTCCTTCTGCCCCGTTAGAGCATAGCCCTCCTGTTGGCAGGGACTTCTGTGCCCTGCTGTACACCTGGCTCCTAGAGCAGTGCTTGGCGCAGGGTTGGTCCTCGATGCGTCTTTGTTGAGTGCAATCCTTCCCGCTTCCTCCGTTTTAGGTTCCTATGCATTACAGGATCTCTTCTTTTAGGTTCTGGTGATAGAGCCAACCAAAATCTACCAGCCTTCCTATGTGTCTATAAACAGTGAAGCAGAGGAGAGGACAGTTTCTTTATTGCATGTCCCCCCCACGGAAATGGTAAAGGAACAATCACAAATGGTTCTTTTGCTTTTCTATTATTTCACCAAAAATTCAATTTTCGCATAGAAGAGTCGATGTTGTAGTGTTTGAGAGAACAGGCACGCATGTTTAACTTCTGAATTACAGGAGTATATGAGAGAGCATAATCACAGATGAAAGAATGGAAGCAGGTGTTTCCATTTGTATGTGTGTTTATATGTGTGTGTACACGTGTGTGTATAAATAACAGATACAGGATTTGTTTTCTTAAAAAGTGAAACCATAAGGAAGTGGATAGGGGATGTGCAGGGAAAGTCCCTCCAGGTTCCCAAAACCTGATCCCCATTCGTATCCCCAGTGATTTGGCAGATATTCATTTATCTGTTTTCTAAACTTACTTATACTTGTATATGTATAAAGTATGTATATGATATACATGAGAGAGAGAGGAATGTTTTGCATTAAAGTGTGATCATACAGCATATATTTATTCTGTAGCTTATTTTTTAACTCATCCATACATCACAGACAGTTTTTCACACAGCACACATGGATCCACCTGATTTACTAAATGTCACATTCTCTGTGTTCCCATATCACATGGCGTAGTTCCTGGAATGGACAAACCCTACTTTATCTCATCACTTTCCTATAGATGCACATTGAGGTGCCCCATTGTTCACTCTTGCCAGTGACACCCTGTCACGCACCCTGGTGGCTTCACCCTCCCGTGCTCAAGGAAGTGTTTCAGGAACAGAGATTCCCCAAAATGGACCTGCTGCACTCAAGAGTGTGTATGTTTAAAACTTCAGTAGTTACTGTCAAATGTATGCCATTTCAGTTTCTACTCACACCAACAATACAGGAGAGAAGAGGTTTTAACTGCTCGGTAAAGAGATTATAGAAATGCTGGGCTGGCCCTGATGTTTTATGGTAATAATGATATTTTCATCTCTTTTTCTAAAGTGCTTCATCAGCTTTCTTCTTTCATAAATTTTGCAGTAATAAAGAAACATAACACCTTTGACAAGTGCATTAGATAGATTTATTTGCTATGTATGTGTTTTCATGGAGTATGGAGAAATTTCTGCCATTAACTTGAAGTATTATTATTTTTAACACAAAGAAGTATTATTTTTCTTCCTGGAAATGGGTGTGAACAATCATGTTTTAATCTGATAAAAGTAAGCAATATCTTCAGAAATAAATGCAACATTAGGGCCAGCCCATGGCTCACTTGGGAGAGTGCGGTGCTGATAACACCAAGGCCATTGGTTTGGATCCCTATATAGGGATGGCTGGTCAGCTCTCATGGGAGAGCGTGGTGCTGACAACACCAAGTCAAGGGTTAAGATCCCCCTACTGGTCATCTTTTTAAAAAAAATAAAATAAAAAAAATAAATAAATGCAGCATTGTAGAATAAGCAGAGGCTCAAATTCATATTAGAAATTCCTTGTCAGAAATAGTCATATCTCAAGTGCAAGCCAGTGACTTTGTCAAATATTTAACATTGGAGTAATCTTATCATTGAAAATAGAGTCAGCAGCCATTACTGAACAGGCTGCTGTCATGTGCTTGTGTTTTTTCCCTGCACTGTTTACATTAACTATTTTAGTATAAAAGAGAAAATTTCATGCTGTAATAAAGGGCATACACGGTGTTCATACAGATATATCTCATTTGAGGAATGCATGCATCTTCTATTTAGTTTCTCTCTTTGTGTTTTTCTAACCTGTAATTGAAGTGTAACATACACAGAGAAAAGCGCATAAGTCGTATATGTATAATTTAATGGATTTTTCAAAGTGAACACACCTAGGTAGCCAGCACAGGGCAAGAAATAGAACATCAGTAGGCCATCCCCTCCCTCCAAGCCCTGGTCATGTCCCCTTTGTGCTGCCCTCCATGTGCCACCTCTGTGAAGCACCCTGTTCTCAGTACTGAAATTTGTGTACTGGAGACCAGCCTTGCTTATTTTCTTTGTGTCATTGATGCGACTGCAGTTAAAAAAAAGAATTTTCAAAATGCTGATCTGTAATCTCACTATTTCATTCATGTAGGTACAAAATACCTCATATTTTGACAAGTAGTTGCAAAAAAAAAAAAACAAACCAAAACGCTAATATTATTAAAGTGATTCTTTCTACCTTTAAAGCATAATGTTTTTTTTTTGACAATTGAGGGTTATATTTATTTATTTTTATTATTATTATTTTTTTAATTTTTATTTTGTCGATACACAATGAGGTTGATTATTATGGCCCATCACTGAAACCCCCCTTCCTCCTCCCTCTCCCGCCTCCCACCCAACAATGTCCTTTCGGTTTGCTTGTTGTAACAACTTCAAAGGATTGTAGTTGTTATATCTTCTTCCCCCCCCCCCCGGTTATTTTGTGTGTGTGTGAGTGAATTTATTTATTTATGTTTAGCTCCCACCAATAAGTGAGAACATGTGGTATTTCTTTTTCTCTGCCTGACTCGTTTCACTTAATATAATTCTCTCAAGGTCCATCCATGTTGTTGCAAATGGCAGTATTTCATTCGTTTTTATAGCTGAGTAGTATTCCATTGTGTAGATATACCACATTTTCCGTATCCACTCATCCGATGATGGACATTTGGGCTGATTCCAACTCTTGGCTATTGTAAAGAGTGCTGCAATGAACATTGGGAAACAAGTATACCTTCGACTTGATGATTTCCATTCCTTTGGATATATTCCCAGCAGTGAAATAGCTGGGTCATATGGTAGATCAATCTGCAACTGTTTGAGGAATTCCCACCAACAATGTATGAGAGTTCCTTTTTCTCCACAACCACACCAGCATTTATCTTTCAGCGTCTTTTGGATTTTAGCCATCCTAACTGGGGTGAGATGGTATCTCAGTGTAGTTTTGATTTGCATTTCCCGGGTTAAAGCAAAATGGTTTTGATCTCATGAAATTCTACAAACTTTGCCCGCCTCGTTTGAATCCTGTAATGGTTGCTGGCCCTTAATGGAAATTTCCATTGGTACATATAACTAGTGAGATACTAGTTGTAAGTGTTTTGCTTTGTTTGTATGTAGTCCATAATAAGGAATAGAAAAGAACTACATAAGCAGCAAATGCTAGTTTTTCTTGACTGATGAAATGTTTTGCACATGTGCTTTTAGTTGTCAGAGGAAATGTTCAAGAGAAATATAAATTGCCTTTTGCTTTGAGAGAAATCCTTTGCTTTTTCCTTCATTTACAGTTTTGAAGTTTTACAGATTTTGAAAGCAGACAGATTTGCCCAGAGTGAGATGACATTTTTCTGCACAGTGTTGCATTTTTTTCCCCCCCGGTGGTCTATAGATAGTGGGAAGAGAACACGTACATGTATATATACACCTACGTGTGGCATCACTATAAAATGAGATTAAATTCCTGGTTCATTAGCTAGAGATTCAGAAACTTACTGGACATAGGAGGCAGTGGTATGCTGGTAAATGTTGGACAACCAACTCTCTAGGGGTGCAGACTAATTTGTAGTGTTTGCCGATTTCCATGGTGTAAATAGTCCCACATGGCCAGTTTCAAGCAAACTACAGCAGGTCACCAAACATGGGATTAGGGAAGAGGTGAGCAATGTGGGCCTTCCCAAGCTGGTACAGGCTGCGTCCAGCACACCAGTGCCAGAGGGCTGCACCGAGCAGGAGGCTTCTGAGCCGCTGCTGATGACCTGCCTCTTCATTTGCATGCTGGGTACAGGGGGTGTTCATTTTGTGAAAGCTTATTGAGCTGATCACTAATTCGTGCCCTTTTCTGAATGAACGTTATACTGCAATATAAAATGTAATGTTTTTTAAAAGCACTGATCCTGGCCCTTTTGGTACTCCCCAATTATTACTGGATCCCGTGGCTTTCCAGATAAAATGCAGACTCTTTTACCAGGTGTTCAGCCCTCCTGTGTAACCCTGCCCCCTCCTTCCTCTTTCTCCAGGCTGTCCTCTTTCCAGCCTCTGAGCTGGCCTTGAAGGGACTGACATCTGCACTTTTGTTCACATCCTTCTTCCTCCCTGGAATTTCTTCTTCCAATTACTCAAGTCCTAGCTTTTGCAAAGGTGTCTTTAACCCTCCTTTCATTTTTTCCACTGAATGTCTGTAGGCATCCAGTGGCCTGTATTATGTACAAAAATACATCCTATGGCTTGTTATGTATCAGTTTTTGAAAATCTCTCCCCCAATATAGAAGCCCATCCATGAGTTCTATGTGTTTATATCTTTGGGCTGTACAGAACAGTTACGCCCCACCCCAACGCCTGTTGATTATGATATAAAGGGAACGAGGGGATGTCCATGTTGTTTACTTCATAGCTAGTAAATCTCCCTCCCAAATCAAGAAGTTCTCTAAAGCTGCCCTAGAGAAAATGTACCATCTGGGAATACTTTGACAATCATACGGCCGAGCTTTCTATATACTTGCAGCCTCTTGCAGGTTGATGTGGGTCAGGCAAGGCTCTCTCGAAACTGCCCCGGTTCACATTTCTGTACCCAAATCCAAAGGCAGACTCCTGGTCTCTGCCACTGTCCTTTCTCAGTGACTGTAGACACGCTTCTCCTCTGAAATACGCACATAGCCTTTCTATGCGCGCAGGTCCAATTTGACGGCTTTCATATTTTCATGCCCTTCTGTCTTTCACAGCCTCCATTGGCTTCCCATGTCATACAAAGTAGAAGCCAAAGTCCTGATGGTGGCCTCAAGGCCCTGCGTGATCTGACCCCATTAGCTGTCCAACCTCCTCTCCCCTCATCTCACTCACTTGGCTCCATCCACTCTTGCTTCCTCGTTGGTCCCCAAGCATGCCAAGCACACTCCTGCCTCAGAGCCTTTGTACTGCTGTTCCCTCTACCTGGAACTCTTCCCCCAGATCCCTGCATGGCTCACTCCTTCACCCCTTTAGCTTTCTGTCATCAGAGCGGCCTTTCCTGAGCATCCAGTTTAACAACATGACCCCCTGCCCCACCTTCATGGCCTTCCCTGCTTTATTTATCTTCATAGTACTTTTCACCCTTCACTATGCCATTAATTTACTATTTAATTTATTGTCCATCTCCCCTCACTTGAATGTAAGCCCCATGAGGGCAAGGACTTTGTTGTCTGTGGGTACCTTGCCTAGCACATAGTAGGTGCTTAATCAACAAGTATGAATGGATCTTCTCCTATTGGGAACCATCTTCCCAGTCTGTTCCTATTGTCATTGCTCCAGGATGGCAGGAAACTGATCACCCAACTGCTGATGGCAGTTCTCCTGAGCCATATGCTCAGTCACTTGGCCCTCAAACTTCTCTTCCCTGGGTGGCTTGGCTGGTCATTTATGACATTCCTCAAGCCAACCAAATGGATTTTCATATTTTAAATTATTTCTATGGTTGTGATGTATTAGGGGTGTAGCCCGTGGCTCCTCTGAAACTGGGGTTTCAGATATTCAGATTTCAGTTTAAGAGCAGGAATGGTGGCAGAGGGAGGGGACAGAGTTGGTTAAAAAGTGCATCTTGGTGAGTTAGTTTTTCTGTTGGTCATGGTAGGCTAACTGTTACAACAGCCCCCAAATCTCAACATCTTGACCTGATAAAAGTTTATCTATGCCTCACGTCATATCCTGCTTGGCAGGGGCCCCATTCCATCCTGTAGTGCATGGGAAAGAGAAGGTAGAGGTTTGCCATGCAAGTTTAGATGAGCCAGGCATGCAAGTGGTGTACTTGCAAGTGGTGCACCTGCAAGTGGTCACTCCTGCTCACATCCCGTTGGTCAGAACTCTATCATATGGCCCCCCACCTAGCTGCAAGTGAGGCTGGGAAATGTAGTCTAGCTCTGTGCCCAGGGAGAAAAAGAAATGAAGATTGATGGACACAGAATGGTGTCTGCTTCTCCAAACATTTTTGCAGGTCACTCAACTTAGGTGGGCTATTCCCAAACTCATTTTAGAGTTTGCCTACTATGTTGACAGAAGGTGAAAGGCCACTCACAGTGTACTTATGGTGTGTTTATTGTTTCTACTTCAAATTTGTATCCTTTGTTCTAAACTGGGTTAGCGATACAAATGAATGTTGATAATACATCAGAAAATGTTTCTGGTGTTACAAGTTATGCAAAGTATATTGCTCTGACTCTAAATCACAACCGAAAGTAAAATAGCAGAAGTGATTGGCTATAGGGCCGGCCCGGTGGCGCACTGCTACAGTGCACTGCTTGGGAGCGCGGTGGCGCTCCCGCCAAGGGTTCGGATCCCACATACAGACCGGTTCCCGCTCACTGGCTGAGCGAGGGGCGGGCGCGGCACCGAGGGGTGCGAGCCCGTTGCCGGTCCCGGTCTGGTACGGGCGCAACACTGAGGGTTGCGGTCCGTTGCCGGACACGAAAAAAGACAAAAAGGAAAAAAAAAAAAAAAAGAAGTGATTGGCTATAGAATGAAACAAAAAACGATTCTTTGCTTAGACAAAATCACACTACTGATTTCTGTCTTTGATACTTGCAGAAACAAATCCACGAATGGAATTTTACAGCCTCTTCTATTAAGGGAATAAGGTAAGAACATAGAGAAAATGTAATTATTGTTTAATTTAAATAACAATAATGTTTATGTACTTTAATGTTTCCATTGATTCATAATATGTGATGTTTTTGTTTTTAATGGAATCCAAAATGAACTATATTTTGTTTTCTTTCCCTGCCCCAGCTAGTTAATAATGTGTTGCTAGTAAGAGCTTCTTGGCTTATTGTAACACAGTAGCTTTTCTCACATCCAACAGAGGGAACTCTCTTGTCTCAAACTATAATAATAATAATAATAATAAGTAGAGAGGAAATGTATCTTCTTTGAGCCAAAGATGGTCAACTGTTCAGGGAGCCTGAGAGCTGAAACCAGAGTTATTTGGTAATGGCACTTGTTGGGGGTGGGGCGTCCCGGGCAGAGGTGGAGCCAGTAGTATTATGATTAGGGAGGGAGTGAGGTGGTATATTTTGAGGAGAGGTATGGCACTTGCTTTTTGGCTCAGGCATGGTGACCATTTGTGCCTGAGCTGTGTGGACTTCCCCAAGCAGGGCTACTATACCTCAGCTGTACTCACCACCTTGCCAGCATGTTCAAGGGCGGGAGTGGCTCTGAAGTCATGTGAGTTCTAATCCCTTTTTGCTGTGTGACATTAGGAAAGTCACACAGCCTCTCTAGGTCTGTTTCTTCTCCGTTTTCATCAAATAAAGGGCTGGGACTAGAACTCTCTGTCCTTTCTCTGCTTCTGAGACTACCTCAGGCCACTGAACGAATCCCAAGTTACCTCCAGACACTGTATGATCTTGTCCTGGACACAAAAGAATGTTTAAATTAGAATAATGTTTACATCACTTTCAAGGGAGGGAAATAATTTAAGTACAGAGTAGTGCATGTGGATAATACTGCCCAGAAAATTCAAGGTAATGCAGAAGTGTTGAACATTTTCAAAAATGTGTTATTCAGTAACTAAGTTGTATGAGAACACATAGTCAAGAACCTTCTATTTGCTCATGGAAACACCTTGAGCTGCCATTTCAGCCACCAGTGGAGATTTGCAAAGAGCCTGGGCCGAATCAGACCCCAGGACTGATGCAACAGGAAGAGCTTGCTTTGAGCATTCCCAAGGCTGCCCAACTAACTGTGGTAGCTCCTTTACAAATTGGGTTTCAAAACTTGCTCATGTATAACCTAGTATGAATTCTTTTTGCATCACCCTGCACAATTGCTGTTTCCCCTCGGTGTTTGTCATATCATCTATAACATGAAGAATGGTCTAAGAAAGTTTGGATCTCAGGAAGAGGTGACTTAGGAGGGGCAGGATAAAGTGGCTTCGTTTGCTCAAAGGGCTAATTGTAGGAGAGAATCTAGCCTTATCCTCTTGGCACGAACAGTGGAATCTATCAGCAGATGGAGTGTGGTGATTTTCTATCACTAGATAGGTCCAGGCAAGCTAAATAGTGCTTGTTTGAAGAGCTGTAGAGTCAGATCTAGACACCGGGTGGAGATAGAACAGATAACATTTAAAGGCCCTTCTTGAGCCCAGATGCCATGTTTATTTTTGTTTCCCTTGTTTGGCCGCAAGTACTGTGTCCTGATATTTTCTAAGTGTAGAAATTCCTTTGATAACATAATAAATTATTTCACAAATACCTTGCCCGTCTTTTTCGTGAGATTATAAACTCCTTGAGGGCAGAGACCATATTTTATTCCCTTTTCTGTTGCCCATATGCTTTGCTTAGTACTAAATATAGAGTAAGTTTTTGATACATATTATTTAAAGTTAGTTGATAAATATAAACTCAAACATAAGCAAGATGAATTTGCCCGATATTTAATTTTTTTTTTTTTAAAGATGACCGGTAAGGGGATCTTAACCCTCGAGTTGGTGTTGTCAGCACCGTGCTCTCCCAAGTGAGCCACGGGCTGGCCCCCAATATTTAAATTTCATAGAGAAGTAAAAGGCAAATGTTAGGGGTATTTGTTAAAGCATTAATGAATCTTTTAGAAATTTGTAAAATGGGAGAAAATCTGTTACTAGATTTTTTCAAGTTTAAAATTGGTATCATAACTTATGTATAAGCATTCTTATGTTTTAAAATTTTATAGCTTATCCAAGTTTGATGAACGGTGTTGTTTTCTTTATGTCCATGATAATTCTTTTTTTTTTTTTTTTTTGTCTTTTGTCTTTTTTTCCGTGTCCCGCAACGGATCGCAACCCTCAGTGTTGCCCCCGTACCGGACCGGGGACCGGCAACGGGATTGCAACCCTCGGTGTTGCCCCCGCGCCTCACTCAGCCAGTGAGCGGGAACCGGTCATCTGTACGTGGGATCCGAACCCTCGGGTGGGAGCGCCGCCGCGCTTCCCAAGCGGCGCACTATCCAGTGCGCCACCGGGCCGGCCCGTATGTCCATGATAATTCTGATGACTTTCAAATCTACTTTTCCACCGAAGACCAGTGTAGTAGGTGAGTTATTGCTGATTCAGGTATTTGCAATCTAATTATGGTGAATCATTTTTAAAGGGTATTTGTTGTTAAAAAGTATATATTCGTGTGTGTGTGTATGTGTGTGTATTTGTTATACTGTCTTTCTTGAAATTTTAACACAGGATACTTTTCTATTTACATAGGTTTTCTTTAATTTCCTTCAATGTTTTGTAGTTTCAGTGTACAAGTCTTATATTTCTTTTATTAAATATATACCTAAGTATTTTAATCTTTTGATGCTATTGTAAATGGAGTTGTTTTCTTGATTTCCCTTTTCAATTCTTCATTGCTAATGTGTAGAAATGCACGTGATTTTTGTGTGTTGATTTTATAAACTGCAACCTTGCTGAACTCATCAGCAAGTTCGAATAGTTTCTATTAAATTCCTTATGATTTTTTGTATGTAAGATCATGTCATATGCAGATATAGTTTGAGTCCTTCCTTTCCAACCTAGAAGGAATTTTTTGTTTTCCTTGCCTAGTTATCCTGGCTGGAGAGAGTAGGTGCCCTTATCTTATGCCTGATCTTAAGGGGAAAGCAGCCAGTCTTTCATCATTAAGTATGATGTTAGCACCAGGTTTTCATAGATAGCCTTTATCAGGCTGAAGAAGTTCCCTTTAATCCTAGTTTGAGTGTTTGTATCATGTAATTTGAGGAAATTTTAATTCAATGTGTGTCATACAATCATTATTACAATGTATATGTTGTAATATCAGACTAGGGAACCCTTGGGTCACAACTTTCAATTGAGAGTAGGAAATATTAGCCTGCCAAATATTAGGCAGAACATCGTTTTACAACAAACTTTACCTTTCCGACCCCCATTCAATGCTCAGTGCCTTTTTAATAATGTTTTAATAATTTTCATTGCGATGTAACATCCATACAAGTGTGTAAAGTGCACTGAAGTGCACAGCTTGATGAGTTTTTACATATGTCTACACCTGTGTACCATCCCGCACATCAGCACCCCAGAAGGTGCCTTGTGTCCCTTCCCAGTCATTAAACACCCTGCAGTGTTAACTCTGTGATTTCTATCACCAATGGTTACTTTTGCCTGTTCTTGACCTTCAAGTGGAGTCATATAGTTTGTACTCATTTGTTTCTTGCTTCTTCCCCTTAATATCCATGAGATTCAACCATGATGTATGTATCAGTTCGTTCTTTTTATTTCTGTGTAGTGTTCCACTGTGTGAACATACAACAATTTATCTCTTCTCCTATTGATGAACATTTAGACTGTTTCCAGTTTGGGGTTATAATGAATACAACTTCTGTGGAAATTCTTATACATGCCTTTTGGTGAACATATACATTGATTTCTATTGAGTATACACCTAGGAGTATATACAGAATATTCAGCTTTGGTTGATACTGCCAGTAGTTTTCCAAAGTGATCATATCAGTTTACACTCCCACCCACAGTATAGGAGAGTTCTAGTTGCTCCTTATTCTTAACAACAACTGATACCATCTTTTAAATTTTAGATATTCTGGTGAGTTCATACCATATGTCTCCTAAGAAGCCTGACTGTTGGGTTTCCCAATTTCCAAAGATAAGAAAAGGAGATGGTGTGGTGGGTTAGAGAAAAGAGCATTCTAATGTTTTGTGGAAATTATTCTGAAGTGTCCAATATTCCTCCCTGCCATCTTAAGAGAGATTTCTGAATAAAAGTTTTCTGATAAGTCAAGATCACTTGTGTGTAAATAGACAGCAACCCAAGTCCAGGAAGTGGCCAATGTGGCTCAGCAGCATTTGTGAGAAAGACGTATGGGTAATAGTTGATATAAAGCTTAATCTGAGTCAACAGACTGGTGGGGTCATCTTGTGTACTTCCACCACACCCCTCCTCTTGTACAAGACTTTATATCTCACTAAGAACTAGACTGTCTTTAACTTCAGCAGTGATGGTCCTGCACCCTTACCGCTGATTAGATCATTCCTGGAACACTGGTCTCAGGACCAGACTTGAAGAGTAATACAGGGACACATTTAAAGAATTACCTGTTAGTGGAATGACTCACAAACAAGTCCTGGGGGAAACAGTGAGGGAAGAAAGATAGATTTACAGGGACATGATAAAATTATGTACATTTCTAATGGGCTGTTATGTAGAAAAGGGGTTAATTCTCAGTAATCTGTGGATGGAACCCACATAAAAGAAGTCTATAGTTCAATAATAGTGAAACATTTCTCATCGAGTTCTCCAAAGAATGAGCTGCTTTTTGGAAGGTAATGAGTTCTCTGTTGCTGGAGGTGTTCAAACATCAATTGTCCAGCCAGTTGGTGGAGATGCTGTATAGAGGGGATTCAAGTATCAACGTGAGCATTTGGACTAGATTAGATAGCCACTAAAGTGCCATGACAAATCCAAGAGTTGGTTGATTGTTCCATGACTTGTGAAACCTTGGTTTATATTGAAGCACAGTTTAATGTAATGAATCTAAGTTAAAGGTAAGGAACAAGGGTGATCCTGACTGGCAACATCATTGTGACATTTTTTGTTCCAGGTTTTGCTCTTTGGTCAGAGAGATGATAACCAATGCAGTGGGCAGTGCAGTGGAGCTGGAGGGAGAGACCGATGGAGACACCCTAGAGGTGAGTCACAAAAGTCCTAGAACATGGAAAAAGTTACTCATTGTGTCTTTGATGGCTAAAGAAAACATCCCATTTTTTTGTGTAAAAATTCTCTATCAAGCATATTTAAAAATAGTCATTTATGCACCAGCCAGCCATCACTATCCATGGCTCTCAGAGATAAAGTTTAATGTGTCTCTGTAGAAAAATTTTATTACTTGGGGATCCTCTCAGTCAGAATATTTAGGAAAAATTTGGCCATGGACTAGACTAAAATTTCCTTTTGTTCACAGCCTATGAAAAAGTTTTTTCTAAGTTAGTTAATAATGCTTATGAGACTACAAGAGAAATAGTTGGCCAACTGGAAGCAGACATTTTCGTTTATGCCTAAAATGATTTTAGTTATATCAACCTGCATATAGTATATTAAATATAACCATTTAAAAATCATTTTTAAGAAAATAAGATCATCATAAGCTCTTTTGGACAGCACAGTTGTAGTCCACAGTTACTACACCATTATACATATGTTTGAATCTTGCACAGTTACTCAGATTTGGCACCAATTCAGATTCTCCCAATGATTACAATTTAATGAGATTTTACTAGACTTTCAAGTTAGACTGAAATGAATTCCTTGCAGATTCTTTCAGAAAATATCAAAGGGTTTCATTTTAATAATTGAGTTAGATACTAGAATGCATAGCTTAGAATAAAAGTTTGTTGTAGAAATGAACTGAGTGGTGTACTTTGAAGGCAGCAGATGTGGGGGACAGAGAAAGGCATGAGATAAGTCTTTTATGGAGCAGGCTGATTTCTAGTTAAAGCAGACAGTGATGGGGACCCTTTAGCAATCTTAATTTTCATGAGCATCCCCAGAAGTAGATGGGAAAGGAGACACACACACACACACACACAAACACACACACATTCAGACACATGTTATCCTGTGTATAAGCTGCACTTCTGTAAGTAGACAGAGAGGAGCATGCAAAACCACACAAATAACCCAGTGCTGTCTCTTTGCCTTAATTAAGTGTTGCTCAGCCTACAGTCACATCTGCTTCAATCATTGAGAAGAATCAACTCGAATGCAGCTGTGTGCGACAGATTTTGATAAGATTGGAGGAACAAAATAACAATACTAATTGTAAATCAAATTTTTGCAGTATGTGCTTAATGCTAGATCTGTATGACTGAGAAAGGGGGAAACCCCAGCATAGGTACTTTGTTATTATGACAATTTTAGTATTATCAACCTTCAGTTCTTTTCTGAGCTATTGAAAGAGGTTTGTTTCCTGACAAGTTGAAAAGGATCATGCAGAAAAATACCTATTGGGGGTACTTAACATGCTTAAAAGCAATTTTAAATTGCAGCATTAAAATGGGAGGAATCTCCCAAAGGTGAGCCCATTAAGTTACATGTGAGCCATATTTTTAATTTCCTTGGATTCCATTTCATAAAGTCACGCTATGAATACGTGAATAACTGAGAATTCTATCCCTTTAAAGTCATTATTAAATGAAAAGTACATAACCTAAGAACTTTGACTTGCTTGACACTCAAATAATGTTATTTATAATTTTTTTTCATTGCTGGGCCACTTTGGGCCTTTGGGGGTCTTCTCCACTGCAAGTTGGGTGCTTTTATATCCTGCTGTTTTTCCTTCTTCAGTATGAGTATGACCATGATGCAAATGGCGAGAGAGTTGTGTTGGGGAAAGGCACGTACGGGATTGTGTATGCCGGCTGGGACCTGAGCAATCAAGTGCGAATAGCCATCGAAGAAGTCCCTGAGAGAGAGATAGCAGGCGAGTCAGATAGACCTCCCACATTCTTCCTAAATCCCGTGCCCACCAGTGATGGTGCAGAGGACTTAAGGACCAAAGCATTATGAAATCACAAAACTTGCAATTCTCTTGTAGTAAGCATGATTTGCTTTTGTTCTGTCTCATAAATAGGTTGAAAAAACAGAACAACTTCACTTAGAGGCATGTGGATTGCCGAGGGGGTCGTACATTAAAAGAAATCTGTAGTTGTAATTCCACACATCAATAGGTCTAAAGTTTTACATTTCTATGTAGGTAGTTGTTTGCACATATTTAAAAATGTTTACATCGGGGGCTGAGCCCGTGGCGGACTTGGGAGAGTGCAGCGCTGGGAGCACAGTGGCGCTCCCACTGCGGGTTCAGATCCTGTATAGGGATGGCCGGTGTGCTCACTGGCTGAGCGCGGTGCGGGCGACACCAAGCCAAGGGTTGCAATCCCCTTACTGGTCACAAAAAGGACAAAAATAAACAAACAAATAAATAAATAAAAATTAAAAAATAAAAATGTTTACATCGGAACAATTGAAAATGGTTATGATTTGTTTGGATGTATCACTACAGAAAATTAAATGTAGTAAAAAAAAAATCAGATTTTTGCAATACAGACTTATCTTTTACCCTCTGCCCTTCAACCTCACCCATGGATTTTGGGCTCTTTATCATCAGAACTGCTAATTTGTTTCTTCAACATTTTTTGGTTTTATTAAGTGTTTGCTTCTTTTTGAATTTATACCCCACCTAATTCTAAACAAGAGTGGGGAAGGCAGAGATTTTTTTTTCTGAGTCAAAGTGAGAAGTGCCATAATAGAGGGGTACACAGGGTGTTTTTAGAACACAGAAGAGGAACGCATTGCTTTTTGTGGGTGAGTGTGGCACGTTTGAGAAAACAAATCATCTTCATTTGGCAGAAAAGGAGGCCTATGCCAAGGGAAGAACAGAACTGTTAAAACACAAAGTATATTCAGAGAACAACAGATCGTCTGTTATGACTTGAATATAGGATATGGGGCAGTGAAGGGCTCTTGAGATGATGCAAAAATTTTTTTAAAAAAAGGTGTAGTCTGCGGTCACCAAGGTCAAGGGTTTGGATCCTCGAACCAGCCAGCTGCCAAAAAAAAAAATGGGGGCGCTGTCCAACCTGATTTTAAAGGTCCTTGTGTGCCACATTAAACAATATGGTCTTTATGTAGAATTTATGTGGAGAAGCAATAGGGTGAAAAGTGTGTTTCAAGGAGAGGTAATACAGTGGCTAGGCATGGAGAAAGGAGTAAAAAGACCAGAGGCTGGGGCTGGGTGGCCCATTAGGTGACTGCTGTGGTGATCTGGGGTGAGTCTGTAGAATAAGACTAAAAAGCAGCTGAGGACAGAATCTTCCAGAGCACCACCCTTCTGGGAGGCTGAGGAAGTGGGGCTCTTGAGAGAGGTAAAGAATAGTCGGAGAGTTCAGGCCCTAACGTTCTCAGTAGTAACAACAGCAGTCATTAACTGAGTACTTCCCACTGGGTGCCTGAGAAACTTGACAGCGTCGCCCCCAGCAGCCCAGCAGCGTGACTGGTATTATTAGCACCTGTTTTACAGATGGGAAACTGAGTATCCTCCTGGCAGCCAAGGGAGAAAAGCTTTCCAGAAAGAAGTGATAGCCAGCAGTGGGGCAGGTACTGGCAAGGTGGATTTGGCAGGTGACGCCAGCTTTGTTTTGTCCCAATAGATACTCTCAGCCTCTGCACGAGGAGATAGCCCTGCACAAGCACCTCAAGCACCGCAATATTGTGCGGTACCTGGGTTCTGTCTCGGAGGACGGCTACATTAAGATATTTATGGAGCAGGTGCCTGGAGGTGAGTGGTTGCTGTCCTCTGGCCTCTGGTTCTGAAAGTCACTCAGGAAAGTATAATATGAACATGATAATTGTCCTGCCATTTAAAAAATGACAGGCCTTTTAGATGTCAGAAAGCATTTGTTTCTCAGAAGAGTTGGATACAAACTTTGCAAATGTCATATAAACAGTCTATTTCTGGTTTATTCAATCAGCAAATATTCACTGAATGTCTACTGAGTGCCAGACGTTGGGCTGAGCATGGGAGACATAGTGTGTAGAAAGTACAGTCTTCAGCACTGAGGCCTTCATGATCTAGGAGTTTAAAGATGGTTTGAGGAGGAGACGTAGGTTTTTGTTTTTTGGTGGTGGGATGGTACAGGGATTGGGGATCCAAACTCTTTGACCTTGGTGTTATAACACCCTGCTTTAACCAACTCAGCCAACCTGACATAGGCTTTTAAAGTGACATTGCACTATAACTTATTGATAATGATATCAAACACCAGTGCTTTGTCCACAGAATCCCCAAATGCAGGCAACAGAGCATAGAGGGTATGAGTTCCTCAGATCTGCAGCCAGACTGTCTAGTTTGAATTGGTCCCTCCATCTACAAGCTGTGTGACCTCGGGCAAATTATTTTAATTCTCTGTGCCCTCAGTTTTGTGGTTGAGTAAATGAATTGTAAAATTGGAGTAATAATAATTAATCATTACTATAATAATTGGAGTAGTAATTATTGGAATAATAATAATCTATCTCAGTGGGTTGTTGGGTGGATTTAATGAGGTAATGCATGTATAGCTCTTAGAACAGTGCCTGGCAGAGAGTGAGAGCTTGGTAAGTGCTCAGCGAAATAATAATAATGTTAATAAAAATTTTTAATTAAATAATTATTATTATCTGGCTACAAATGTAAAAACGTCAGTTAGAAAATGGTATTCATTCATTCATTCAACCAACAGTTAATATTATAGAGCCTACTGTTATATTAAGAATCTAATCATATATATTAAGAGCCAGATGGTGGGCTAGATTTTGAGGGTTACATTAAAGATAAAGTACGGTTTGTTTTTCTTTCAAGTTGATCATAGCCTAGCAGAAAATGTGCCTGTTGCTGTTCACATTAACTGATATTTCATGCGTGAGATTTAAGAGTAACAACAGAATTAGAGTTAGATGTGTCTGTCTCCTTTTACAGATGGGCAAACTGAGGTATGGCAAGGTCTCATAGCACTGTATAAGTGGCGAAGCTGAGACCAGCTAATGCCCAGGGCCCTGTTCTGACCTGTAGTTCACACCACAACCTCTGAGACATGTGGTCAGAGTGTCCCAAAGGAAGGTTTTCTTTTAGCCTAAATGTTCAATGTTTAATAGTGTAGCTGGGGAAAGGATTGTTAGTCAAGATGGTCCTGCCCCGGTGACCTGAGGCCACTGGGCCTTCTCACAGTGAGGACAGAGAGGCCCAACCTCCTCCAATCCTAGTCCCTGTCACCCTGAAGGGCCCCTCACTCTGCACCTGTCTGACTCTGATGACAGAGACAAGCTATAAAACATGGCTTTGGCCCAAGCAGAATGGCCGAGATAGTCGTACAGCAAACAAGTGTCATGGGACCTGAATATCTACGACAGCGGGTCCTGCCTCCCAAGTTTAGAGAGCACTGTCTCACTCTCCTCCCGACTCTGTGCAGCTGAGCAGAGCTGAAGCCAGTGTTGGCCCCACTGAACTTGAGGGATCACAAGGGTTCCTGTTCACCCTCCACCTCTGCTTGGGCTACTGTGCTGACTGGCTTCCAGACTATCTTCTGGCTGTGGCTGTAGAGAGGGAGGAAACACATGCATTTAGCCCAGAAACGATGATGTTGGTGTAAGTGCTTACATTACATTAGAAACATCACCTGCCTTTATTTCCCTGAACTCTCACAGTTGAATCTTTGTCATCCCAATGAAGTTTTTTGCTGTGTCTGCTTCTAGGAAGCCTTTCTGCCCATTTGCGATCCAAATGGGGGCCGATGAAGGAACCCACTATCAAGTTTTATACCAAACAGATCCTGGAAGGCCTTGAGTATCTCCATGAAAACCAGATAGTGCACAGAGACATAAAGGTACTTGCTTTCAAGCTATCGCGTTTTGTTCATATCAGATCAAGAGAGCTGTCGGTAGTGTCTGCTGAGTGACTGGCTCACAGAGGGAAACACTTTAGCACGATGGTCCCCAAAGTGCAATGTCTAGTGTTCCTAGAGACTTGTGACAGCTTCTCAAGTTCCAAGTCTGTTTCATGTTAATTTGTTTAAACTGTCTTTAAGCACGTGGTATTCTTTCTTTTTTTTTTTTTTTTTTTTTTTTTTTTTTTTTTTTTTTTTTTTTTTTTTTTTTTAAAATCAGATCAAGAGAGCTGTCGGTAGTGTCTGCTGAGTGACTGGCTCACAGAGGGAAACACTTTAGCACGATGGTCCCCAAAGTGCAATGTCTAGTGTTCCTAGAGACTTGTGACAGCTTCTCAAGTTCCAAGTCTGTTTCATGTTAATTTGTTTAAACTGTCTTTAAGCACGTGGTATTCTTTCTTTTTTTTTTTTTTTTTTTTTTTCCTTTTTGTCTTTTTTCGTGCCCGGCCACGGGATCGCAACCCTCGGTGCCGCTCCCGTCCCTCGCTCAGCCAGTGAGCGACCAGTCTGCATGCGGGATCCGAACCCTCGGCGGGAGGGCCACCACACTTCCCAAGCGGCGCACTACAGCAGTGCGCCACCGGGTTGGCCCGGTATTCTTTCTTAAGGGTGATAATGTTCTGGTAAACACCTACAGTGGCGTGGTGAAAATCTCCGATTTTGGAACCTCTAAACATCTTGCAGGAGTGAATCCTTGCACAGAGACTTTTGCAGGTAAGTAGAACAGGGCTTGGCATGGGGTGGCCGTCTTGGAGTTATGCTTTCTGTGCTAGCTGTGATCATTCAAGAGTTGTTTACTCAACACCTTCTCAGCACAGAGTGAGCAGTTGACGCTTGAAGTGGACAGCATATCGTTAGCAACTTCGAATTGTTTTAACTTTGTCATAGTGATGCACTTAACCAACTACAAGACTGCCTTACTTTCTTCTTTGTCTTTCAGAAATTGGGTAGGTATAGTGCTCTGCCGAAGTTTTCTGAGGGTTTCTCAACCAATCAGCAAAATGGCAATATCTCTTTCAAGTTTTCTCTTTCAATATCACATTATTCAGAATTGTGGGTAATTCTGAATAACAACATTCCTCAATTATTAGGACATTTTATTGGTCTGTCATAAAAGTACCTTGTGTTTTGATATGATTATGTTTCTAAGGGAGGCTAATTCTTCTGGGGGATTGTGGTATTCTAAGTGGGTTTGAGGAATTGGATTTTCTTTTCCATGTGTCTGTGATGGAATAATTTAAGTGTTGAGAGGGACTGGATTCAAAGACTGGTATAAAATTACCAACTCGCGTTACATTTACAAGACCAGTAGAGAGAATGACACCAAAAGCTGCCTATGGCTTCTTGAAATTCCTGCTTAAAAACAATTATAACAAAAACTTTGATCCTCAGAAAGAAGTGCTGATTTTGAGTAAATAAAGGTTTATGGTCCCCTAAGGAATAACTAAAGATCACAAAGGTCTTGTCTGATACAATTATGAAATAGCTCTTTTAGTATTATAGCTCTGAAATAAGCTGTAAACGACAGATGACTGTTCTCTATCCTTGTAGTCACCAAAACTGTAGAGTGGACAGCATGGGCCTTATTTTTGGTGAATAATGTGTCAGCTTTGAAAGACTTTTCTTCAATGAGAGAGTTGTTAGATGTCAGCCACTAGACACCCACAATGAAAACACATTCCCCATCTAAAGGGAATTTTAATGCATCGAAAAGGACTTTTCAGTTGTAATGCAAGGGGAGGTGCAGGCATCTCAAAATGGGAAAATATTATACCAGGAACTCCATCAGAATCTCCTCAAAAAAGAATGTGTTGAATTTTCATTCATTGTTTCTGATATACATATACATATATCGTTATGTATATATGAATATGTATATATGACTGGTACTTTTTTTTCTCTTAGTATTTTACTACCTTAATTGAAAATTACTTATATCCTCCTCTTTGGGAGCCACCAGTTAGCTTGGCAATACATAGCAAGAGCGGCTGTGACGTGACAAGGAGTTATTTCAAGACATAAAACCCCCAACAATTTATCTCATAATTAGCATCCCTGAGGAGAACAGAAATTCACAAAGAAAACACATGTATAATTCATTATTGCATATCACATTTCCCAAGTAATTGGCTTGAGGAGGCATGAATTTTGCATTGCAAAATAATGCAGGGGTGTTTGGGGGATAATAAAGAAGAGGTCTCATTTTGGTTAGGAAATTCCCCTGCATATAATTACTCTTTGCAAAACAGAGCAGTTCTTTAAAGAAATCTCAGCTGCTTAGTACAGAAGTGTTTGGGTTGGGTGGATACGGTGGGCCTTCTCCCCGTCTGAGCCTGGCAGGAGAACCCAAGGTTTCAGGCAACTTCTTGACCTTGAGTCTGGCCCTGCCGAGTTCCTCTGCAGGGGTTTCATGTAGATGTAAACTGTCTAGAACAGGAAGAGGGGCCCTTATAGCCAGGGTCAGCCCACCTTGGTGGTGATGGTGTTGTAACAGCTTTATTGAGTTATAACTTCCATATCATAAAAGCACCCATTTGAAGTACACAATCCAATGGTGTCTACTAAATCTACCCAGTTGTGCAGATGTCACCACACTCCAGTTTTTGAACATTTCCATCTCCCCCCAAAGATCCCCACGTCTCTTTGCAGTCAATCCCTGTTCTCACCCCAGCCCCAGGCAACCACTGATCTACTTTCTGTTTGAATAGATTTGCCTGTTCTGAATATGTCATATACACAGAATGATACCCTATTTAGTCTTTGCATCTAGCTTCTTTCACTTAGTGTAATGTTTTCAAGGATCACCCATGCATGCATCGGTGCTTCTTTTCTCTTGTGGCAGAATTGTATTCCATTGTGTGGATAGACCACATCTTATGAGTTCATCAGTTAATGGTCATTTGGATTATTTCCACATTTTGGTTATCTTGAAAAATGCTGCTATGAACATTCACATACACACCTTTGTGTGGACATATGTTTCCATCTCTCTTGGGTAGATACCTAGGAGTAGAACTCAGGACAGGAACTCTGTTCTGGTCTATGGCTGTAAACATCTTGGTTCAAATCCTGGCTCTACCACCTGCTAGCTGTGTGACTTTGGGCGTGTTACTTAACCTTTCTGTGCCTCAGTTTTGTCATAAGTTGTTGGGCTACGCCCGGGCCGCCAGCCATTTTGGGAAAGTACCTCAGCCATTTTAA